GTCACGGGGGAGTTACCCGAGCGTGAAATTACCGGGTTGCTGAAGCGCCTGTGGGCGTCCTGGGCGGGAGAAGGCAGGCGTACGCCGCACGTCGGGTGCGGGTTCGTGGGTCGCTTTCAGGGTGGTACTTGAAGCCGGGCACTTTCTAGGCGGTTGGCCTCTGCTGTAGAAGCCTGTTCTCAGCGCCCGAGTAAAGAGGAGTTGCTTTTTGTACAAGTGTACGCGTAAAGTTGCTGGGGTGCCTTACATCCCTGGCGTGTGTTGACTTCATGACGTGACTTCGTCTCTTTGAAGATTGTTCTGTGCTGGTTCCAGCGAACTCCCTCAAAGAGCGAAAGTTTGCAGCATGGGCGGAGCATGCGTGGGGCTTCCCGTTCTTTCTTTAGTAACAGAGCTCTGTGCTTGTGAGGGTGAGCGTGGTTAAAGAGCTTGATGCAATATATGCGTTTTTAACAAACTTGATTCCCGCACGTTGCTGCATTTCACTCGCAGGTTTCTTAGCCCACGTAGCTTCATAAAAGCGACTGCTTTTGAAAGTAACCGAGCAGGGACCAAATTCAAGCAAATACTTGCTTTTGTAGCCCATTTGATGTTGTTCTTTCTTCCGTGTGTTGAAAATAGAAGCCCTTTTTTTTTCATTAACGTGTTCGTAAGGTATTACGCAAGAGGAGATGCTGAAAATGCAATGCGGTACATCAACGGGACCAGGCTTGACGATAGGATCATAAGGACGGACTGGGATGCAGGATTTAAGGAGGGCAGACAGTACGGTCGTGGAAGGTCAGGGGGCCAGGTAGGTGGTTGTACAGCTTACTTTTTAAGGGACTGGCGACTTTGCCAGATTAATGCTTTTGAATGAGCACAGAACAACACCAGGAATAGCAACATACAAATTAGTGTTTAAGATAGCACTGTGCGTTAGTCTGTAAGACATCTTGTCCATGATGATGTTATCTGCTAAGAATAAGTAACTTTTTCATGTATTTCGCTGAAAGTACTTTCAGATCTTCTTGGCTGCTTGGGGAGGTAACGCCTATAAATAAGCCGAGAAGATGTAAGGCTGTCAGGAACGCAAAGGACAGCACGTAGCTTAGCTGAAGTTGAGCCGGTAGCGGATGCTTTTGCTGCTGAAGCATGAGGCTAGCGATCCTCGCCTTGGCTGGCTTGATTAAACAGCCCCCCCTGGATGTTATTAAAAAGGCAGTTAGTTTCTGCGGTGTTCTGGGCTTCTGCGTTACGCACTTTACCTTCTGTTTTGTCAGCTCCTTGTGGCCACTTACATGCTGTGTGCTCAGTCTGACTGTATGCTGGTGGTGTAATAGTTTTTGAGAAATTATTTTTGTTTGTCTTTACTGGACTTCCCTTTTTCCTCCTTTGTAAGGTCCGAGATGAGTATCGGCAAGACTACGATGCTGGAAGAGGTGGCTATGGCAAAACTGTTCAATGCCAGTGAATAGTGAATGACTCGTCAGCCTCACATGAGAGCTAAATCTGCGTTGTAATGTCACCAGGCACGAAATAGGTCTGTTGCACACAAATTTATGTAGCTAGAAATTCACAGAAATCACTGTCTGTTCCTGTGATCATGTAGTACGTTCAATGTCTCTTCCATTTTAATACCAGGATCCAAAGCATTGCAGAGTACGTGAATACAGAGGACCTGGGAGCAGGGTCTGTGGCGATAGGATGCCTGAGGCTTTGGTCTCGAAATGCTGCTGTAACTCTACTAAGAGGGACAAAGGTGCTTTTTTTCACTGGCAAAACTTGATTATTCTGTCACTGGGTTTTGTTTACATTGGTGTCACAGGGTGGAGAGCAGCAATAATGGAGGATTGGTCTGTATTTCAGAGATGAAATAAAAAGGCAAAGAGCCTGAAAAGGAAGTTTTCCAATTTCTAGGGAAGTTTTCTGATTTCTGGGGAAGACTTAAAGTTGCAGGTTTTCTGGGGTTACTGGATTAGCATCTTTTTTCACTGTTGCTGTTCCTCGCACACTACATGAATGGCCACCATAAAACAAGGCAGACTGATGAGCCCAGGAGTCATGAAGTGGGAAGCAAGCCTAGCAGAGAGCGGAGAGCAGACCCGTGCATTCATCTGCGAAGTGTATGTGTTTGCACGACATCGTGTGGTTCGGAAGGTTCAGATCTGTTTTGCGTTGTGGGACAGAGGGAGCAGCAAGTATAAGAATTGCAGTAGCCGTTATTTTCACAGCTGGGGTAGTGCAGCATCTCGCTCCTGTCTGGTAGCTCTCTGCAGCCTTCATAAGTTCGTCTTTCCTGTGCCTACAGGGCTGTCATAAAGCCAAGTTGTACAGTTATACCCAAAAATGGGACGTTCGAAAAACTCTGTCTATAATGATAACTTTTGTTCTTAAAATAGGTTTTCTATTTGAGAAACTTCATTTCAGACAAAGGTAAAAAAAAAAAAAAGATGTATTTTGGGAGGAGCCTTGCGGTCTACTGAGTGTGTGGCAAGAATGGTAAAAGATTTGCAGGACTGTACAGATTATTTTTTTTCCCCCTCTGGATCCTATTAATAGTGTTCGTTTATGTGATGGGATTTTGATGTGCTGTAGACATAGGAATAAAAATAATTAGTGATCCCAAGATCTGTGAAATTGACCTGCTAAAATAAAATAGTTTAAAGGGAACTGTTACAGGGCTTTGGAACTCTTTTTTGATGGGCTTCCGAGTTCTTTGGAACTGGAAATTTGTAAAGTTTTGCCCAACTATGTTGGTGTCTGTGACTCCTTAAAACACTTTAAAATATCGGGGATGTGAAGGTTGATCTTTACTCACTGAAGATCTTGTTGAAAATCTTGATGTGTTTCTTATGTACAGTTAGTTAGTCACAGCTGCTACTGTGAATTGGAAACAGAGCGAGGTAGAAGAACTGCACTGAGACTGGGCTTACTTGGGAAGCAAGGGTTTGGGTGGGCTTTGGCTTTCTGGCACATAAAGTAAAACTCGATTTTCAGGATGACTTGGTGTTTATCTGCAAACCAGACTTTGAACAAAGTTAACCTTTTCCTAGATAGTGCATTTGATTGAGTTTACAGCCTGTAATCTGCTCTAGGAAATCTCTGAAGGTTATTTTACATTGTATCAATTTTGTATTAAAAAAATTGTCTTGCCAAAACTCCAATTCACTTTGAAATAAAGCTGCAATATTACAGTGGATTGTTGTGGTTTTTTTTTTAACAGAACCAGTGAGTGACAGGAGCTATATTCAGACTCTTGTCCATATCCTTTATTCTAGTGTCTTTTAAGAGGGCGAGAGTGAATATTGCTCCCCTTTGACTGCATTTTCAGTGTTGTTCAGTTCATAACTGGATGCTGAAAGATGTTTGGTTAATGCTCTTCACTCTGGTGCTTTTTGGATTGCAGAACAGAAATTAAATGACTGATACTGAAGTGGATGTGAAAGCCCTTGGTGCGTAACAAGTAGTTTTCAAGGTGCACTTCCTTATAAAAATTAGGTTTGAAATTATTTTTTATTGTAATTGCTGCAAGACAGTCATTCTCAAATGAAATGGAGGTGTTAATAAGATTTCCTCTCAAAACCGTCAGTCATTTTGCTGCATACATGCAATGTGTATAGAAAGATTTTGTTTTAAAGTGAGATTTTTCTATTTTGAGAAACGTTTCAATCAAAATGGGATTTAAAAGCACACGATACATCATTTCAAGTCCTGTCTCAAAAGCGCGTACAGAGGAAATAGATTGAACATGGTTTGATTTTTTGCCTTTCCTGATTGAGATTGGACATGGCTCTGCTGAAGCTAGTGCTTAACAGAAGTAACTGAATGGAGTCTGTAAAACTTCACTGAGGGCTTCCTTCGCTTTCTTACGCTTCGTTGTGTTTAGATTCTCTTGGCAGTATAGGATCTCCTGTGATTTTTTGACATGCCAGTTCGTTATTTACATTATAAACACTTTTCTTAGAAGTTTGAGCTCTATATTAGCTTTTCTAAATACTTGTTCACCGTCCTTCTATGGAATGGTACCCTCAAAGAAATACAGCAGCTAGGAATATGAGTGGAAGCTGAGATAGGAAGTGAGGCTGTTTGTTAGGAATCAAGGCAGCAAGAGCTGCCATGCTTCAGTAATGGTGTAATGGTTCTTTCTACACAGACAGTTCTGAAAGACAAAACGGTTAAAGTATTTAGGCTAATATCCAGCACCTCATCTTCCAGCTCTTGTCAGGTTAAGCTTCTTGTGAAGGTAAAACTTGAAGAACTCTACTAAAATCGACGCGGTTTGTACAAAGGCTTTTGTCTGCATAGTCAAAGACAATACTAGTCAAAGGAAAGCAGTCCACAGGGACTGAACATCTAACAAACTTGTCCCTTGGAGTTTCTAAAGCACAAATTGTACCTTACGCTGCAGCGTATAAACCAAGAAGAATTAGAGTGAGCATTTTTCTGTGCAGTCTCTGGCATTTCTGCTCCTACCTGAGTATGTTTGGTACTTTCAGCTAAGTGTAGGGCCTGACACGTCTACAGGTGAAGTACCAAAAAATTGGTGAAGACTGCAGAGAGAAGCGTCCAAAACGTCTATCATGTTTGGGAAGTAGTGGCCTAGTTTATTAATTGTTTGCTTTCGTATGCCTCTTGCCTGTTCCTATCTAAACGAGCTTTTGCACAAGGTTTGGATGCTCGGAGCTGCTCTGTAGTAACGCACGCAACTCCTCTGCTCTCCGTTTTGAGATAATGAAGTGGTGTGTTTCTCATGGCTTGCGGGAGGAGGCCTGCCCTTGTCTGGCTAAGACCGGTGTTGAGTCCCAGCTTGTGACTGGCAGCTGTTATCTCCATTACTGCTTCATCTCTTTTTTTTTTTTCTGTCCCATGTAGACAGAGGAAGTTGTTCAAGGTTGGCTGTGTTTGTATCCCAAGGTTTCAGTAATGGTGCAAACTGAAAACAGGCTTTGCTCCTGTCTTGAAAATATATGCTCTAACCAGACTGGAGGAGAAGCCGTAGTAAGGAAAGGGACATTTTCTTTTTGGGGGTCATTTCCTCAATCTTTAAAAATTAGTTTATGATTTGTATGCCAAGTTAAAAGGCTTCTAGCATAAAGGTCCTTCGAGGCTCATTTTCAGACCTTAAACTGATTAAGATGTGGAAATTAGGAGAGCTTACTTCTTTCTTCCACCACCAGACACAGCCATCAGCGCTGCACAAGGACACACCATAGAAGTTTAAATTACACAAATTGGTCATGACCTGTTCTGTTTCAGAGCCTTGTACAGCCCATAAGGGGTATGTACATACACACAAAGTTAGGGCTGTGCAATTCAGGCATCTGAAGTTTGCAGTATAGTGTCCCATTACAGACATAACTAGTCATGATAAATTCTAGAAAACAGAATTTGAGAGAAAAATAGATCACAAAAGTCTTTCATTATCATCTACATATATAATTTACTCTAAGCTTGGCCCAGAGAGGTCTTGTCCAGATCCTACTTCCTTAATGCTTCACAGTTACATTTTATTTTCTTACAGCACGTTGTGGGTCACGATTGAGCAGAGTCTTCTGTGTTCCATTCTAATTTCTGGGGAAATAATCTAGGTCTGGAGAACCCATGAAAATTTGTATGCTGAGGCTCTGTAACTTCACCCAATGTCTACACCACAAAGTTGGAAAGGGTTTGTTACGTCCCTGTCAGTTGAAGACAGAGTTACATGAAGAAGAACATTTGCTGATCTTCAGAAACTGCTTTCTGAAAGCAGGAGAAATCCATTCTTGTGTCAGGGTTCCACAGCTTATGTGAAGATTACCTTCTTGCCACTCTGCTTCCCAACCTGCTTTCAAAGACAAGGATGCACTTCAGTGAGATAATATTCTCCAAGATCATTTTAGCTTCTACCTGAAGGTTGTTTGAGTGTCCATTAGGGTTCCTTACAGAAGAAAAAAAAAAAAAAAGATAAATAGGTAGCCAAACTCTTTGCAACACTTACTAGTCAGTATTTAGATCTGACACAAACAATCTTTCCCTTCAGCAGGGCCCTGAAATTTGAGTTGCAGACTCTTGAGGAGCAGCAGCAGTAAAATGCCGGATGCCTCCCTCTAGCGACTGCAAAATCGTTGTACTTTCATGTTCGACAGCGAAGGCAGCTGCTGAAAGCTGTTGTGTGCAGCAGGTTGCATGTTGTACTGTCTCAAGACTGCGTTGCGACTGTGTTGTAAAAATGGACAAAACCCTAATTTTCGTCTGTAGACCGTTTTTCAAAGTGGAGGCAACTAGAGATCAGGATTTGTGGATTGGTAGCCCACTGCTATTTCTCTGTTTAGCAACAGCTTTATTGTCTTTTATACTGGATATCGCGATATGCTGTGTCTGTGGTGACATCTTTCCCTGCCCCTAGCAGCCTCTTCAGATTTTGCCAGAAGCAACCTGTGGTATTGAAGGAGAGCTTGACTCTTGGATGCCCAATTCATGCTTCACAACCTC